CCTCCATTCAAAAAGTATGTACCCAAAAACCACATGTAGAGGTCCCCACGATTGAATCGGCCCGAGCATCTTATCAGAAGAGGCCCCGACAGGGGCGTAAGGTCCTCCATTCAAATAAGAAGTATCCAAAGCCCGATGCCGAGGGCCGCCGAAAGATGGAGTGTACCCGAACGGGTTATCGGATGACCCCGATAGAAGCAGAGGGCCCTAATTTCAAACACTGAAAACCAATGTGCAGGGCCCCGAGCAATCCAGTGTGGCCGAGGAGCGAACAGAGAGGCCCTGACAAGTGCGTGGGACCCATTCAAATAGCACGTGCCCTAGGCCCAATGTAGAGGACCCCCGAACGCTATCAGATAGCCCCCCCCCCCCAAAAAGCGTAGAATCCCCATTAAGAAAGACCCAGTGTGAAGGGTTCCCGAACGACTGTTGTGCCCAAGCAGGCTGTCAGATGGGCCTCCGACAAGAGCGCAGAGCCATAAATTGGAACCGCCCTAGACCAATGAAGAGGGCCCGTGAGCATATCGCAAGTGTGTCGGTAGGTTAACTGAGACCCACGTAAATGGCCCCTGGGCAACAGAGAATACCCCGGCAGGTTAAGATATGGGGCCCCGGCTATAGCTCACACAGGCTTTCTGGCGAATGGAAAGAACACACGGAAGGGCCCGTGGTTGACGCGTGTCCCGGCACGCTGGCAGGAAGGGCCTCAACAACAGCGCGGAGTCCCTCGAGCAAATGCAGAGAAATGAAGGGCCACGTGGAATGCCCCTTGACTATTGAAATGACCACGCAAGTGGGCATATGGGTCTCGCAGTGACAGCATCGGCCCGAAGACAGTGAAATGAGGCTTGAAGTTTCCAGTTCCCAATTTTTCCAATCAATGAATTCTTTTTGACTTATCATAGGCCCTTCACTTTCGCTTACAATTGTTCTCGGTCGTCTGGAAGTTCAGAGATATCTAGTTTTTTTGCGTTTTGTGTTAAAAAACTGCATGGGCCCCTTCGGAGACAATGGGCCCATTCGGGACCAAGGGGGGCATGGTCCCGTGCCCCCCCCCCCCTCTGGAACCGCCCCTGTGTGTCACAAGTCACCAAACGTCAGTGACAAAATATGTTTGCAATGCATAAACTTATATGCGGATCAAATGGAATGATACAAAGTACTAAGCATGAATAACGGTATTATTGCCAAAACGGATCCTCCCTGTTAAGCCTGTGTGGAGCGATCTATGTCATTAACCGTTGGTGATCGGAATCGACCACCTCAGCAATAAGTGCCGTGTTTGATACAGAGTCGCATCGACGTTGTGTTATGGGCCCATGCGCTGAGCCGGAGTCAGATTCGGCTCCGCTGGAACAGTATCAAGCCGAGTGCGGATGGCATCTCGCCACCTTTGCACGATCCTGCGTACCTACGAGGGCCTGCTTGAGACAAATTTGTGTCCCCTAATGGTTACTCCAGGGTTTGTTAAATTCCAGCCAGTGGCGAATGGGGTGACCAATCTTTGCAAAACAGGCAGTACTCCACCAATTTCGATCCTATCTGTCGCTATCTGACCTTAACCTGCTGCCACCAGCGTGTCCAGGTGACCCTTCGCCCTGCGGACAGATCTACGTCATTCATACCTGGCTCGCCGTCGCCTGAACTTCTCTTTTTAGGATATACATTTCAATTTGCACGTTAAGCCATCACTGTAATTGAGATGACGTCATGTTGTGTCCAGGCGGCAGTCAACGGCAGACATGGCGTTATGACAGGTTCAAACGGCCGTGGGGGGAACTGATCTGCCGCCACCAAGGTACTACGCTGAAATCAACCTCGAATTATCATTATCAGTGAAAACGCTACAGTATGCTCACCAGTGCGGTCGGTCCAGTTCAGCCAACGGCGGGTGACGAACGTCATAGGAAAGCGTCTTCCTCGCTCCAGCTGGTCAACCGATTATGCCCAGCTGACTCCTCAGCATGTGACTCACAAAGCGTTGTCTTATTTATTTACGAGCATCTTGTGTTTTCTTCGCCACCAAGTTCCGTCACAATGTTTCCCGTTGGGCCTAGTTGGGTTGGTTTGATGTGCGCCTGGGTCGGCCGCTGCTTTTCATATCCCATTTCAAGGACGCACAAAATGCTCGTTGGCGGTACGAAGTGTCATCGCGCGACGGAAGTTTCGATTACGTTCGCGACAAGCATAGGAGGAAGGGAGCCCAGAACCAGACACGTATGATTAATATGAAACACTCATAGCTCTAAGGATTAAGCAGTATGCTGCTGCTACTGCTACTGCTTTTGAGCGCATCACAGCTGTGAGATGTTACCGAGATGTTACTGAGCGTCTCACAGCTATAAGGTGTTACCGAGATGTTACTGAGCGTATCGCAGCTGTCAGATGTTACCGAAATGTTATTGAGCGTCCACAGCTATAAGGTGTTACCGAGATGTTACTGAGTGTCTCACAGTTGTGAAATGTTACCGAGATGTTACTGAGCGTCTCACAGCTGTAAGATGTTACCGAGATGTTGCTGAGCGATCAGAGCTGTGAGATGTTACCGAGATGTTACATAGCGTATCACAGCTGTGATGTAAACGAGATGCTACCGAGCGTGACACAGCTGTGAGATGTTGCCGAGATGTTACTGAGCGTATCACAGCTGTGAGATGTTACCGAGATGCTACCGAGCGTGACACAGCTGCGAGATGTTACCGAACCGTTACCGAGCGTCTCACAGTTGTGAGATGTTACCGAGATGTTACCGGGCGTGACACAGCTGCGAGATGTTATCGAACTGTTACCGAGCGTGACACAGCTGTGAGATGTCACCGAACCGTTACCGAGCGTCTCACAGTTGTGAGATGTTACCGAGATGTTACCGAGCGTGACACAGCTGCGAGATGTTACCGAACTGTTACCGAGCGTGACACAGCTGTGAGATGTCACCGAACCGTTACCGAGCGTCTCACAGTTGTGAGATGTTACCGAGATGTTACCGAGCGTGACACAGCTGTGAGATGTTACCGAGCTGTTGCCGAGCGTCTCACAGCTGCGAGATGTTACCGAGCTGTTACCGAGCGTGACACAGCTGTGATGTCACCGAACCGTTACCGAGCGTCTCACAGTTCTGAGATGTTACCGAGATGTTACCGAGCGTGACACGGCTGCGAGATGTTACCGAACTGTTACCGAGCGTCTCACAGTTGTGAGATGTTACCGAGATGTTACCGAGCGTGACACAGCTGTGATGTCACCGAACCGTTACCGAGCGCCTCACAGTTGTGAGATGTTACCGAGCTGTTACCGAGCGTGACACAGCTGTGAGATGTCACCGAACCGTTACCGAGCGTCTCACAGTTGTGAGATGTTACAGAGATGTTACCGAGCGTGACACAGCTGCGAGATGTTACCGAACTGTTACCGAGCGTCTCACAACTGTCATCGGCGCCGTGACCAGCCGGTTGCATTAATTTAGCTAATATCTGACAAATACAAATGAACAGCAGTTGGTCTCCCTATGCAATGGGGCCTAAGATCGAGTACGTGCAATCACTCGGTTGCCATTACCTGAGTGTCAGTACGACCGAAACGAGATCAAGGAGTGGCCGACTGCGCATCTGATCATGACATTTTCAACCTTCAGTGTAAAACTATACCGATTTTCACAGCCGTTCCCATCGCAGAATGCTTTTCAGCGCTCCGGTGCTCTGATACATCCGGGCGTTGGTCAGACGCGCAGCGTATATTCGACGCCCACTGTTCACACACAGCTGTTCATATCTCCACTTTTTACTACAGTAAATGCCACCAAGGAATGCATTTGCAGCAGTACAATGGCGCGCTTTCCGGGATCGAAAACTAGCGCGGTGACTCGAAAGCTTCGGTCCTGCACATCACCACCAGGTTGCAGCACCTCTCACCAGTGCCAACGCAACTCCACCTCGCGCCTTTGAAAGACATGAGCGGCAGGCGAATCGAATGCGTCAAGGTCAGGCGCCTTTCAACTGAGTAAATATGGTGACACACGATGAGTGGAAGCTTGGCACAATACGTAGGTACGTAAAAATATGGTAGAAACGTCAACACTGACGCCTTTGAAAACCTTGCGCTGGCCTAACACGCCCGTGTTCACTCAGCAAATGTACACCTTAATGGAATTCACGGATGTGGAAATAGCTATCATACTTGGGTGGTCTTGCATAAGCAAACTTAGACTAGGTGCAGTTGAACCATAAATAGTGACTCAAGTTTAACTCATACCATAACATAAATAGACGGCGTGGCTTGGGCATTGCGTCACAGCGCTCGCGTAACAATACGTCTGAGACCACGTAGGTACGGAATCGAGCCACACCGATATAAATACTTGATGCTTAACAGTACACGTAAGCAAATCAGCCGCCCCGTCCTACGCAGGGCACTCACGTGACAACGCAATACGTAAAATTCAACAAATCATCACATCGAAGACTAGACACGCGGCTGCGCTCGGGAGGAGACGCAAACCTGCGATTTACGCTGCCGCTGGGCGTGTCACACCTCCGCTGCTCGGGCCGCGTGGCGGCGCGCTCCGTGTCGCGCCCGCGTCCTGAGCCCCGCGCTATACACTCGCCCCACCGTCGGCGAGCGAGGCTGCAGCGAGCGGCTGGTGCGTCACCACCGTCTCACACCGCCGAAGGGTGGAGCCGGGAGCCACAACTCCTGGCGTGTCACCACCGTCTCACTGTCGGAGGGTGGAGCCGGGAGCTACAACTCCTGGTGTCACCACCGTCTCACTGTCGGAGGGTGGAGCCGGGAGCTACAACTCCTGGTGTCACCACCGTCTCACTGTCGGAGGGTGGAGCCGGGAGCTACAACTCCTGGTGTGTCACCACCGTCCCATTGTCGGAGGGTGGAGTCGAGAGCCACAACTCCTGGTGTGTCGCCACCGTCTCACTGTCGGAGGGCGGAGTCGAGAGCCACAACTCCTGGTGTGCCGCCACCGTCTCACTGTCGGAGAGCGGAGTCAAGAGCTACAACTCCTGGTGTGTCACCACCGTCTCGCTGCCGGCGCCAGATGACCGGGCACCCATCTCGGCGAAATGGACACCCTCCATCAGACGCTCGCCAATGACGTTGCGCCGCCTCTCGGTAAGCCGGTGCCGAGTCAGCGACGTCAGCTCGTTCAGCTTGCTCAGCAGGAACTGCTTGTCATGGCCCTCCAACACCAGCTGCTCCTTTAGCACCTCGATCATGTGCTTGTTGGCCGCGGCGATGGCCGAGTAGTAGTACATGGCCAGCAGCAGAGCCACCACCAGCGGCACGGCGAACCCAGCCGAGCCGAAGAAGTGAATGAAGGTGCGCAACCAGCCGGGCAGCGCGTTCACTGTGTCCTGGATCTCCATCCACATCGTATGGAGGCCTCGGAATGGGCCGCATGAGCGCGACGGCTGGACCTCGGCCATCGAGAAGATGATGATGGTCAGCGCCGCGAAGAAGGAGAACAGCGACACAAGCATGTAGAAGGCCGACGAGCGGATGGTGTGCAGCGACAGCTTCGGTGGCTCGCAGATGCGCGTACAGGTGAAACGCTTGAGGTAGAAGTAGAGGAAACAGATGAGCGCGGCGATGCCGGGAAGCAGCGGCGAGTAGAAGACACCCAGCCAGCACAGCGCCTGGTTGTAGACGACGTCCAGCACGTGGCGCGGAATCTCGAACTCCTGCAGGAAGATTTTGCGCATCCACGGCACCTGGAAGTGGTCGATCACCACCTTCAGCGGGAAGTAGACGAACAGGTTTAAACCGGCGATGCAGGCGAAGTCGGTCAGCATCAGCTTGTAGCAGGTCTGGCCGATGATGGTCTCCCAGCAGGCGTTGGCGCGGCAGCCCGGCAGGAAACACTCGAAGCCTGTCAGTTGGCCTTCGCACTGGGCCTTGTACTTAACGAAAAACGAGTACATGAGCACGGCGATGGAGGCGACGCGCAAGAACACGGTGCGCACCAGCGTCAGGATGACGTTCACCTGCGCCGTGTAGCGCTCCAGCGTCACGATGTGGTACATGAAGAGCGTGACCACGATGTTCATCACGGACACGGTCATGGCTGGTAAGTACTGGTAAATGGTCAGCAGCGTCGACCGGTTCTCGCCGCTGGCCTCCATCTCGACGTGCAACAGCGAGTACTGCACCACGTAGAAGATGATGACGCCGCAGATGATGAGGATGACGGTGACGATGATGTTGGTGACGGTGCGGACCACGTACAGCTGAATGACGTCCATCTGGCTGCGGTTGCGCCGCTCCGCCTCGTACTGGTCCGTCTCCAGGTAGCCCTTCAGCTCGTTGTACACCGCCATCTGCTTGTACTCGCGGGCGCTCACGTTGTCGATGCAGAAGTCCCAGGCGCTGAAGATCACGTTACAGTACTGATAGAACTTGCCCCGCGACAGGATGGCGTCCTGGAAGCCGTGCGCCGTGTGGATGACCACGAACGCCAGACAGAGCAGCAGACAGCTGATGGACACGAGCACGTACGCCAGCGGTAGGTTGTAGTACAGCCCTGATGTGGCGCCAATCAGCACCACGTTCTCGTAGTAGCCGTAGAAGAGCGGCGTTAGCTCCATGTAGCCGGTGCCCTGCAGGAAGTCCATGAAGCCCTTGGTGACGCCGCCCCAGCTGTTGTTGTGCACGTACTCGGTGTAGTTCTGGTTGCAGCAGGCAGTGACCGTACTGTTGTCGGTGAGGTCGCAGTGCAGGGGCTCCGTCCGCTTCAGCAGCAGGTTTGGCAGCACCACAAACGACAGCATGGCAGCGAACACCGCAATGTTCATGTACATCACCTTCTTGATGTAGCGGAAATAGGACAGCACGCCCGTGCCGAAGTTGCCCTCGATGAGGCGGAGAGAGTCGTGCCACAGCTCGAACGCGAAGATGTCCACCATAGCGTCCTTAAAGTGTGACCAGAACTTCTGCCGATGCAAATGAAACCGCTGCATGCCCTGTACTCGGAAGGCCGAAGAGGTCTGGAACAAAGACGAATAGCACGGCGATACCCACTGTGAAACATACAATAGTAGTCGGATACTCGATTGGTACCTGTTTACACACGTCCGCACCAGTGCGGCGGTTTGATCACTGCCGCTGGCGGCCGTACGCTCAGATACGTGACGTGACGACTTCAGCACACCACTCGATGTTTTTCCAGCCGCACGTGTATTTTGTTACTGGCAGTTCCATGAACAAATTTACAAATGCTGTGTTCCGATTGTACGTACAAGGAGCTTGTTCTTGCGTTCCCTCTTCTTCTCCATCGGAATCGGCATAGCCTTGATGGCCTGGATCTGGTCCCAGACCTGCTGTTCGTCAGGAATGTCTGCGGCAGACCACACGGCCGGCCGTCAGCGGCCAGCATGCCGCGTGGCCACGCTCGGCCAGACCAGCCGCCACCGCCGGCGACCGCCCGCGTAGCCGACGCCGCGCCCAGCACACAGCCCCGGTGGGCCCAAACAACACACCGGACGCCGTCTGACGTCACAGGCAGACGCTGCACCAGTCGGGACCGATCTCAGCCAGCGGTGGCATGGTCCAGCAATTACGGGCGACCACGAAGCACTTCTCGTAGTCAACGATATCTTCAGGCTGTGTTCGATATCATACGTACGATAACTACATGCAGCATATGCAATATATGATGCATGTACGATATCAAACTGTGTGGCACAGGTTAAATGCACCGTACAGCAGTATGTGATAAGAGCGAGGGGTACACAGCTGCAGAGAGCTCCTGTCATAAGCTACCGTCTTATCAACCAAGCATTCTGCCGTGAAGCAGCGTGCTTTTATGACGCGCCATAAAACCCCGCCGCACAGATCTTGAGGCCCGCTCAGGTGTGCACTGACCCGCCGCGGCCGCGGCGTCGGCACGCGCATACCTTGGTCGGGCAGCATCTCATCGTCGGCGTCAGCCTGCACCTGGCTGGGCCGCAGGGTCAGCGTTGAGCGTCGCTTTGCCGAGAGTGCGGGTCATCTGGCCGCGACTCATGGTGACACCTGTCAGCCGGGGCACAAACCCGTCAGCCGGGGCACACACTGGTCAGCCGGGGCACACACACCCGTCAGCCGGGGCACACACCCGTCAGCCGGGGCACACACCCGTCAGCCGGGGCCCACACCCGTCAGCCGGGGCACACACCCGTCAGCCGGGGCACACACCCGTCAGCCGGGGCACACACCAGTCAGCCGGGGAACACACCCGTCAGCTGGGGCACGCACCCGTCAGCCGGGGCACACACCCGTCAGCTGGGGAACACACTGGTCAGCCGGGGCACACACCCGACAGCCGGGGCACACACCCGTCAGCCGGGGCACACACCCGTCAGCCGGGGCACACACCCGTCAGCTGGGGCACACACACCCGTCAGCCAGGGAACACACCGGTCAGCCGGGGCACACACCCGTAGCCGGGCACACACCCGTCAGCCGGGGCACACACCCGTCAGCTGGGGCACACACCCGTCAGCCGGGGAACACACCCGTCAGCTGGGGCACACACCCGTCAGCCGGGGCACACACCCGTCAGCTGGGAACACACTGGTCAGCCGGGGGCACACACCCGTCAGCCGGGGCACACACCCGTCAGCTGGGGCACACACCCGTCAGCCGGGGCACACACCCGTCAGCCGGGGCACACACCGGTCAGCCGGGGCACACACCCGACAGCCGGGGCACACACCCGTCAGCCGGGGCACACACCCGTTAGCCGGGGCACACACCCGTCAGCTGGGGCACACACCCGGTCAGCCGGGGAACACACAGGTCAGCCGGGCACACACCGGTCAGCCGGGACACACACCCGTCAGCCGGGGCACACACCAGTCAGCTGGGTGGCGGTTCCACCGCCGTCACTTCACCGCTGTCGGGGCTAATCTGGCCGGAGCGTATTTCCCCCACCATCAGATGACTGTCGATTATCACTCAACGTAATCATCTGTGACTCCCACCAACAAGAACTCGCGATAAGATATCATCGAACGAGCATTACCGTCCCCACCCGGAATCAGATAGAAGTCGCAGGGCCTTCTTCACAGGTGATATCCCGGGGTAACCCTGCGCCAAAACAACCGGCCAAATCAGGGCCCCATGCCGGCGTTCGAGCTGGGTGCTGCGGCCCGCATTTCATAGTCGCGTCAAAGAAATTACAGGACAAACAGGCGGACGGAACTGTGCCGGGTCCTGCAGAGGTACCGGCCGGCCAGCGAGCATGGCCGGGGCGGGCAGCGTTAGCTCTGGCGGGCGTCGGTGGGCCGGCGGGCCGTCTAAACCCACCCCACGGATGAGTTTACAGGAGTAACTTGATCCCGGCTCAGCCGAATCGCGGTCGTCGAAAAACAGAGCTCTATCACAACAGGAAATTTAAAGAACCAACTAGAATAAAGTTAAGAAATACAAGGCACATGAGTACGGGAAAGACAAAAAGGAAAAATCAACTGCGCATAAACCGAAGCCACACGACACATTGCAACATGGAAACCATGAGGTACAGACAGGTAAACATATTCACAAAAGATGACCAAATGAACAAGCCAGGTAAAAAAAAGCAGAAGGTTGATGGGAACATATCAGTGTTCGCATTCACGGAGTATTCCTCGTAACTGTGACACATGAATCGTGGCATGGGTGTAAGCCTCCCTCGAAGACGCATCCTTCGTAATTTCAACAACAGCCCTCGTGCCTTGTCGCATGTCCAGTTGGCATGCGGCGTGAGCGGCGCCAGTTGTGCCGATTGTGGCACGGCGTGAGCGGCGACAGCTGTGCCGATTGTGGCACGGCGTGAGCGGCGCCAGTTGTGCCGATTATGGCACGGCGTGGGCGGCGCCAGCTCACCGTCGACTGTGTGCAGCAGCTGGCGGCTGGGCAGGATGTGCAGCAGCTGGGCCTGGGAGGACGAGGCGCCGCCCGACAGCGAGTCGTCCGCCTCCAGGCCCGCCTGCGACGACGGGAAGTGCTCCTGGTAGAACTCGCCGCGCGCCTCCTCCCACGTGGAGGGCTGCGGCCGTGACCGGCGCGCCATCCCCAATGCTGTCGGCGCCGAACGCCGCGTCAACGGAGCACTGGGCCTTGTTTACGGACATGCGCCTTGATCGAAGGCCGTCTCGCGCCGTCCTCGCAAGAACTGTTTCCCATTAGCTGGCTGCCTGGTGCCCCTGGCACAACAAAGCCGACCCTCAGCAACATCGCAGTCGTTCGAAAAAACAACGAAATTGTGTATCTAACAGGTCATAATAGGCCTGGTGAGCATTTAAGGGGGTATTTTAGTGCAGCAACAGCAGGGGTGAGACTTTTCACAAAAGATCAAAGGGTGGAGGAGGTATGGGAACTTATGGCATGGTTGCCCATGGTAATTGACCATTGGGGGGAGGGGAATGATGTTGCAATGGGTGAGAACATGACTAAACAATCAACAACTAAACAAATTGCATACAAATGCTTTGAAATCATGACAGCATAACTTTGTAGTAGATGTGCTAGCTTTCTTTTAGTCTCTGGGGCACTGATTGTGCTTGTTCGGCAATAGAAAACATGTCTAAAAAAATTCTGGTTTCTGAATACCACTGTTTCAGGAACACTGCACAGCGATTCATAGCTGACATGGGTGGTGGTAGACAAATCTGCCGACTGTGTGTGGCGTGGGTGATATTGTCATATCAACAGGGCCCTACACTATAAAAACACACACAGCTGTGTGATGATGTATTCCAAATTAAATGAAGAATAAACCTGTGAATTTTAAGTTTATTCATGAGATGGTTTTGGAAAATGTTGCACATAAAGCTGAAATATTCCCATTTTGGGGCAATTAATGTTTAACTTGACCCACTGGGGTCAATACCTGGCCCAGTAACATCTCATTCCTCATTGCAATGACCAATGCAATGCCATTTTTTATTTGAGACCCATTTTAAGGTTGAAAATGGCAGGAGGCACCAGCCCATTTTCAGCATGGAGATCAAATAGATCCCAAATAGTTTGTGTTATGAAAATGTTGAATCAGGGTGAGGGTTAAACATGATATCATGAGTACTTGAAAGAACACCATCTCATGGATTAACATACATCATGAGTCCCACTGTCTCGACAATGACAGAGTTAGGGGGAAACTGGTTACACAGAGCAACTATAGTTGGAATTCCTTTGCTCCAACATGGCAGCCGGCTGCAAAAGGTGAACAAATGATCTAAGTAAAGGTTGTGGGTCATATATTGGTGTATCACACCAGCACCATTTTCAAAATTGGCATGCTGAGTGTTGCCAGTAACAATGGGAGTCACTTTGCAATGCTCAGGAAGAAGACTAGACTGACCAGACTGATTAAAATTCATGTTCTATTTCAGGAAATGTGCTCACATGATACCCACCTCTTGTAGGGTCTGTTTGCCTGTCATCACACAAATGCTAATAATGTTTAGGACAGCCTGAATCCTATGGCATTTGGAAAGCTTCAAACAGCTTAGCCTATTCCAATAGAAATTTGCCACCTTTACACATTAAAGCCCCAAGGTCATTAAGTGCCCTTTTCAAGAACATCTACCTTTAAAGTAAAAAAAAAAACAAGTAAAGAATTTCATTGTTTGACCAAACTCTCACCCATAAAGATCTTATCAGCAATTTTACACTTGGCACACTGGTCTGCAACTGTTGACCATGACAAATTACCTTCACCAGTCATTTTTCTTGAGACATTGACTCTTCGCTGAAAGTGGTGGTACTCATACACCAAACTCTGCACACTCAGATTTAAGGTGTACCTACTTTAACTTTTTGCTGTAATACTGCTGCCACCACAACATGTTTAGTGCAAATGTTTTTGAGATCATGGTATGGGTGGCCTATTTCCAACTCCAAAAATGAAATTGGTTCAAACTGTCTGGAAGCATGAGGGTGTACCTTAGTTATTGAGCCAACTTTTCCCTGGAATGAGCTTGTGCATGACAACTGGACATATTTTGCAGCATATAAATCTTATCCTGAAAAATTAAACCAATGATGATGGGTGGCAGAACACAAAAATAGGTGGTGTATTCAAAACCCAAATTATCTCTTGGTAAATACACACTGTAACCTTTCACACTCACATGTTTGTTTAACCAGTGTTGGCAGCCACCTGCAATGGAAAGGACAAAACATGTGAAAAGACACTGCAGCTCCTCTGGGGTGAAAGCAAATCTCTGTATCCAGCAAGTCTTTGTGCTAAGAACCTCAGTTATGTCCCAGTTTTGGGAAACACTGAGAACCATGGTCTCCCTAAAATGTGACCATGGTAGCAGTCAATTTG